GGGCCACTGGCCGGGAGCAGCAGGTGGGGCGCGGCCGCGGCGGCCGGCCGGCCGGAAGGGTGCCGAGCGGGCGGACCCGGGGCGCCACGGCGCCAGGAGCGAACCCTCCCGCTCACCTCTGGCGGCGACTCCGAGACCGGCCTCTCTGCGCCGAAGACGCCGCTCCGCGAGTCGCGAGGTCGGAGACGCTGGCGGGTCGCTGAAGAGGCGGCGGCGGACTACCGAGAGAACCAAGGGAAGACGGTGGACGGCGGACGGCGGGCGGGGAGCGTGAGCGAGCGAGCGAGGGCGGGCGGGCGGCGGCGGGAGGGCGGGGAGCGACGTGCGCGCTCCCGAGCTCCCCACGGGCTCGAGCCGGCACCAGCCGCGGCCCCGCGCACGCGCGCCCTAACTACTCAGCACGATTGCTCGGGGGCGCGTCCACGCCCTAAAAGTAAGGCGCTTAACCAATCATCGCTTGCGCGCGGGGCATCACGGGAGTTCTGGGGCTATAAAAGAACCTGGTTGCTATTTTATACCCTTCGAGTCACTCATCCTTTAAGCAAGCAGGGTGGGGCTAGATGCGCTTGCGCAGCTTTCATGCTCCTCCCCAAACTGCCAACTCTTCGCGCATGAGTTAGGCCTTCTCAGGCTGAGTCAACGCGTGCGCATTAACCGGCCTGGCCCCGGAAGACCAGGCGCCTGCGCGGTGGGAACTACAGTGACAGTCCCCGAGGTGGGGCGCGGGCCAGTCATGGCGGAACCTTGGTTGGGACAATCCCTGCAGGCTTTGCCTGCTACTGTGCTGGGGGGACTGGGCGCCCTGTGCAGCGAGTTCCTGCGGGACTGGGAGGCGCAGGACATGCGTGTGACTCTCTTCAAGCTGCTGCTGCTGTGGTTGGTGTTAAGTCTTCTGGGCATCCAGCTGGCATGGGGGTTCTACGGGAGCACAGTGACCGGGCTGTATCACCGCCCAGGTGAGGTTCCCCATTAACCTCCGCGGGCAGCCCACCCCACTGACTTTACCATTTGGCTCCCCAGGGCCTCCCTAGACTACCATTGGTCCCCCAAGAGTCTCATCAGAATTTAATATTAAACCCACACTGTTTAATACTACCCCACCGTTTCACACCACAACCCCGACCAGCCCCCTAGTCACATTGTAGCTTTCCCCAAATCCCCACCAGACAGTATCACTAATCCCTTAGAACCCCCACCGAACTATACCACTGGCCCCTAACCTAACCTAGGCTGATGTATCCTATCCTTTCCCCCACACCCACACCTACGCCTCCCCAGCCCGCTGCAGCTCTGGCTCTGTTCCTGCCCCCCAGGTCTGGGCGGCCAGAACGGATCCACACCTGATGGTTCCACGCACTTTCCCTCCTGGTGAGTATATCTGTCCCCATCGCAACCCAAAGCTTAGCCTCCTGTGCTGACGTGTGGGAGGAGGGGATCTTCAGTGTGGGAGGCCACCATGTTAGTGGCCAAGAGCTTAGACATCAAATTGGAGGGACTGACATCTGAACAGCTTCTCTCAGCACACTGTCCAGCAGCCTCTGGGGTAGGTGTTGAGAGGACACTGCCATCATTTTACAAATAAGGGAACCATTTAGAGATGAAATGGCAGGCTGGACCGATTGGTCTCCCAGCAGAAGCCCCTCAGCTGGGAAGGCAGGAATCTCTGGCCTCATCAGTTAGCCTCCTGATAGGTGAAACACGAGCTTACAGAGTTAAAACCAACGTTTGTCTTAGTCCCACAGGGCTGCCCTAACAAAATGGGTAGCTTTAAAAAAACAAACATGCAAATCATTTTTTCACTGTTCTGTTCTGGAAGCTAAAAATCCAAATCCACAAAATGGGTCTGTTCCTTCTGTAGGCTTCTCCCCTGGCTTCTGGCAGCTGCCAGCCATCTCTGGCTCTTCTCCGCTGATTGAAGCATCTCCCTGGCACTTCATCACCTGACACTTATATTCTTCCCTGTCACACTCCCTTTTTATAAGACGCCGCTCAAAGGAATTAGGACTTAGTCCTCCCCTACTCTGGTATGACATCTTTAATCCAACTGATAACAAAATAGAAGCCCTGTTTCCCCAACCCAAGTACTGGGCTTAGAGCTTAAACTTTTTTTTTTTTTGGGGGGGGGGGCGGGGGCACAATTCAATCCATCATTCTGACCTTTGGCTTCCAAAATCCAGTTACTTCCCATGTGCAAACTTCACCTTGTCACAAAAGTCTTAACTCATTCCAACAATCACCTTTAAGTCCAAACTCTCATTTTTTGAATCATCTCTATCAAGTATGGGTGAGACCCTAGATGTTTTGCATTGTGGGTAAAATCCCTCTCTCGGTAAAAGTGCAAAACCTAGTATAATAGTGTCACGAAGTATAGGAGTGACCCCTATCACATGGTAGGAGCTTAGAAATTTGCTAACTGAATGAAGAATGGAAGGGAGGGACCTGCGGGGTTCTTATCCTAAAGTCCAAAGAATATGGAAGGACTCCAGAGGCAGGCCTTGATCTCATTTGCCTCTATAGCCACCTGTGTCACAGCAAGTAGATGAAAGGGTCCAAGATTGAGGGCAAAAGACTGGTTAGGAAACCTGCCACTGCCAGGTTTCTGTCTTGGCCAATTGGAGAAAGAATGATGGGACCCAGGAGGAAGAATGGTTTTGCAGGCAGGCCCGGGGTGGGGTGGCAGTGAGACCAGTATGGGTTGTGGGACCCATGAGGCATTGTGGGATTTGGACTCTGCCGAGATCTAGATGTAATATGATCTTATTAAAACAATATATATTATATAATATAGTATATGTTTTATAATATATGTATACAATGAGCTTACTGAGCCCAGCACAGCTCCCAAACAGGGTCCGGGATGAGCTAACCCCAGCCACTATTCTGCCCACTAAATAATCTCTCTCCATCATTTTCAGGGAAACGGCAGCAAACGAACCTCTCAAAACGCACAGAGAATAAGAAGGTAGCAAGGGAGTCACCTGGGCCTGCTGGTTCCCACTCTGGGTTCTGCAGCTGTCCAGGTCCCGGGGCTAACTTCAGGGGGCTTGGGGACTAGGGAGTACCTCAGTACTTAAGGGGCTGGGCCTCTGCTGCCTCAACCCTGCCGCCAGCAGCTCCAGCCACTGGATCAGTGAATTTTGCCTCACCTGATCGGTGTGCCTTAAGGGGAGAGTGTGCTCTTCCTGTGTCAGGGGTTGGAGTTCAGGAAAAGCCTCTGGACTGGGGAGGTCAGCAGTCTGTTTTCTGCCCTGGCTTTCTGCTGTCCCCCTTCCCATCCCATGTTGGACCCTGCAGAGGTTTGTCTCTGATAGGATGCCTGAGGCTCACCCGACTGGGATTTATAAGGGAAGTCTGTTCTTTAAGCACTGAATTCCCTGCATTCCTTTGGGAGTGCCTCATTGACAGGGAGCCAGGGAATCCTGGCCTGGGTCAGGTCTTATACTGCGAGATGGCTTCCCACCCTGATTGCTGAAGTGCCCATGTCTGGTCCATACTCTGCCCCCTCAGTGGGAAGCACTGAGAGGTGACTTAGCTAGCTGCTTGGGTATAAGGCCTCATGGCAGGGTGTAGCTGACATCATCTAATCATGGAAGCCCTGACCACCACCTTCCCAACCATCTAGAGCTCTTCAGATTTGAACCTGGCCAGCCATCATTTGCCGAGTAGCCTACCCATATAGCTCCATCTTTCTGAGGGAAGGCTGGGTACCTGAAAGGGCCGAGTCTCCCAGCTGAGCTCCTGGGTTGGCCTCCCACCCCCACTGCTGAAGTGCCCATAGGGTCTCAAGTCTGTCCCCCACCCCTCCAGTGGGAGGTGCTCAGCAGTTAGTGCAGAGAAGCCCCATCATGCCCTGCAGCCTCGCCACTTCCCACCTTCACCTGGGACAACCGGAACCACAGCTCTCCAGCACCAACACCATCTCCAGGCAGAAGAACCACAGCCTGCCTGGGAGGCAGGCCGAGGGAGCTTCCAAAGGCGTGTGTCGCTAAAGACTCGCTCAGAATCACTGGTCCCTGAAAGCAGCATGGCCCTGTACCTGCCTCCGTCCCTGATGACACCTGCCTGCCTCTGCTGGGCCACCTGCCATCTCAGGGTCCAGCTGCCTGCACCCTCTGATAAAGGTCCCATTGCCTTTGCCTAGGCCATCCTTCCGGCAGAGGGGCATTGGAAGGGGGACTGCACTGAGCACATTCTCCCTCTGGAGATATCCGGTTGGCAGATGGATGGACCTCTTGGGCCTGCTCACCACCCTCACACACAGAATCAGGGCCTGACAATGTCACTGAGGAGGTGGCTTATTAAACATGGAAACAGATCAGTGTGTGGTTATTCAGACAAGATGAGGCCGTACGTGTACAGACTACTGGAGAGAGAATACCCCAGGGGGCCTGATGCTCCTCCAGGCCCACAAGGCAATGGCTCACAGACCCAGCTCCCTAAAGAGTAATGGTGGGGGTGCCCAACAGAAGTGACGTCCCTGCTTCAGTTCTAACAGCCCTGGTCCCCCTCAACCCATCACGGAGGCCAGGCACCCCTAGGACCCGGTGAACAAAGCACAATGACACCAACAACTGTGGCAAATCAGGAAGGAAGCTCATTTAATTTCTTCCAGGAGTTGGTATAGTCGACCCCAGGGGCAAAGGTCAGCCCAGGGGAAGGCAAGTCTGTGAGGAAACCCAGCCCCGTCATACAGCAGCCCCGAGGCTCAGGACAGCTGGTGAGCTCGCCATGATTCATCTGCGACCGGGTGGCCGGCTGAGGCATTTTGGGAGTGAGAAGCTCGAGTCCGTGTTTGGGGCCAGCCCTCGGTGAGTCAGGAAGCATTCTTCCCCAGGGAGAGGCAACAGTTTACATTTACAGAGAAAGGCAAATGGAAAGGTGTGGGGTACCAGCCCCACAATCGAGCGGGTCCAAAGGTGGGCGATTGCGTAATGGAGGGGTGAAATTAAAGAGACCACAGACAAGATCAAGCATGCAAGCGCTCACCTCCCGGACAGCCACAATCTCAGCAGCCAGGTCTGCGCAAAGAGCGTGAATCTATCTCCAGTCACCACTTAGATACATTTAGGGGCATGCAAGCCAATTACAGGTAACCACATGTAACAGGAATAGGCAAGACAGAAAGGGGAGAGCTAGGGGGTACACTGTGACAAGATGGGCGGACCTAGATTCAAGATGGCAGCCTAACCTTGGTCCTCCTTCAGTTGACTTGACCTTGTCTTTGGGCTCTCTAGGAAGGCAATCCAATCCACTATCCTTAGCAGGGAGTGGGTCCCACCTAGGGTGGGGCAGACTATAAGGTCTGATTGTTCTAGATGGCTGATACCCTCAGGGAGATAACCTTTAAGCAGATGACCTCCGCGTGTAAGACATTGACCAACCGTGTGTTAGCAAAGCAGTATCTTAGGTTTGGCATATATGGGGAGACAACCTGGGGAAAAATCCGTCTGTATCCTACAGGAAGGGGTGGCCTTTCTGTGTACTAGCCCTTGGTAATGTGAGCCACAAACTGACAGGCTGGCCAGGTGAGCCTCTCCTCCACAGCCAGGGGCTGGCGGAACGGGAGGGAGAGCTGGTGGGAAAACAATCTTGGGTTGACGAGTGTGTGGCTCAAAAAGGGGTCCTGGAGCTGGAGGGGCATAGAGGGTAGAGGGTATAGCCTTCCTCAACCAGATAACCAGAGCCAGCCTCACCCCAGCCTCTCCAGATCCTGCCTCAGCTTCCTAACTCACCACTTGGAGACTGTCCTCTAGGGCCTGGCTGTGGGAGGGTACCCCCCCCCCCAATCCTGAGCCTCTCACTTGAGGGTATAGTAGCTTGTAGGAAGGAAGGGCATCTTGCTGACCACAGCCACCTGTTGCTTCCGCCGCACTTCCACCAGCACCGAGGTCCCCGGGCGACTGTACTGGCTGGACACGTAACCCATCGCCACATTCTTCTTCAGGCTGGGCGAGGGACAGCCACTGGTCACAGTACCTGTCCAGGCAGAGACCACATGTCAGCCCAGCACCCCCAACCCCTGGGGGGAGTTTTAAGGCCAGAGCTCCCGAGCCCTCGGGGCCCACTTACCAATTACAGTCCCCTCCGTGCTCAGAATGGGGCTGTGTGCCCGCATTGGGGGGCCCTCACATATCAACCCCACACGCCTCCGCTGCACCTTGCCCTTCAGTTGGGGGACAATGACTTCGGCTCCAGGGAAGTCCATGGCAGCTCGGCGACGCTTCCCTGTAACATGACCCCGCAGGCCTAAGTCACAACCTACCCACAGGAGCCCTGGCCACAGGAGGTCCTAACCACAAGGACCCCAAGTGGCAGCCATCCAGCATCGAGGCCACTTCATCAAGCCCACCCTTCCCCTGCACTGCAGTCAGCCACCCACCTCCTGACCATGGCTTAGAAGCCAGTGGAGGCTGGGGGTGGGGTGGGGGCCAAGTCACTTGCTCCAGGTTACACAACCAGGTCCCACGAAGGGCCACCCCAACCATCAGGACCCCATCCTGAGTGCCAGTCTTGCTCACCCAATGTCCAACTGAGGCTGCCCTCCACAGGGGTGGTGTGCTCATCGATGTCATTGCCATACAGGCAGAGGCCTGCTTCCAGACGCAGGCTGTCCCTCGCTGCCAGCCCTGCCAGCTTCACCTCCGGGTTGTCCAGAAGAGCCTTTGCCAGGCGGACTGCCTCTGCCGCTGGTACTGAGATCTGCACAGGATACCATAGAGGAGGTGGGCAGCTGCCCCAGAGCCCTGTGCCTGCAAAGGCTCTTACCCACTGCTTGACAAACCTCCACACCGTCTTCGCCTGTATAGCCACAGCGGGTCACGCGGCAATCAGGCACGCCAAACACCTCCATCACAGCACTGCTCATGAAGGGCAGCTTCCCCAGGTTGTCTGACACGCCAGCCTGCAGCACTTGGGCTGCAGTGGGACCTAGGTCCAGGGAACAGGTAACCATTGGTCTAAGCCCCAGAGCCTCTCAAAGCCCGGCCATAACTGTTAGGGAGCAGAACAAGCCCTGAGGTACTCAACCCTTCTCTGCAGGTGGAAGAAGACACCCTCCCCCAACCCTGAGAGCCTGGTGGTTTTAGAATTATGGTTCACAATACCGCCCAATCCACACCCCATCCCCATCCCAAGCAGGCAGATAATGGGAGGTCAGTTCCAAGCCCAGGCCAGCCCTCTCACCTTGCAGGGCCAGCAGGGCATTATCCACTACTTCCAAATCCACATCACTGCCCACATTCTGAAGCTCCCTGACCTTGGCCTGAAAGAAAAGAAACACAACTTCCTGTGCACCTTCCATGAAGCAGGCCCTACCGAGCTAGGCAACAAGACTCTTAAGTTGATTCCTACCATATAGATGATGCCATTGACCCTCAGAGCTCGTGAGTAATTTCCCCAAAGTCACATAGCTACAAAGTGTGGGGATGACTCCAGCCCAAGCCAGGCAGCTCTCCCATGAGGTTCCGGACTCCCAGCGACCCCAGAGTCTGTTTCACCTGCCACCTCCCAGCCACCGAACCCTGGCCTATTACAGGGAGGGCCTGCTTGGAGTCTCCCACTCAAAGGGCCATTTCCTGAGCCCTCTGTCCATGCCAGGCTTGTCCTGGGCACCAAGGCTGCCACTCTGAACAAGGAAGACAGTGCCCAGGGCACGGAAGGGCTATACCTGCATGAGGGCCAAGTCCTTGTCCCGGCAGCCAGCATTGGACACTACGTACAGGTGTCCCTCAGAGGTGTTGGTCACAATCAAGTCATCCACAATGCCTCCAGCCTCATTAGTGAATAGTGACAGTGTCCCCTGCACCAAAGGGGAGCATCTTTACCTTCCTTCCGGTCCAGGAGGCCAAGGCCACAGGTGTGCCGCCCCCCCACACACACCTCTGGACCCAAAGAGCCACTACAAATGTACACACCCTCACACACAGGGCTGAGGTGTTGCAAGGCACAACACTGGGTCAGCCTGGGCCCCAGGGTGCACTAAAGCTTTCACCCCCAACCTCTCCTGAGGACTTGCCCGTCTCACTCGGAAGACACCCAGCTCAGACTTGGGACTGCTCAACCCCTGCCCCTCCTCCAGGAAAGATGCTTCCAAGTCCATCTTAACATTCCCACCCACTCCCTGAGTGCTCTACACCAGTGTCTACGAGAGACTTGGGGGGCTGGCCTCAGCCTCCCAACGCATGAAGAGTCAGACCCAGGGCCCCCACAAATCTCTTTTAAAGGGCAGGTTCCGGGGCAGAGCTTGACCTCATATTCTTAACAAATTCTTAAGTGATGCTGACGCTGATGATTCAGGGGCCACATTTTGAGGAGCAGGGAGGGGTCAGAGGGCACGAACAGTCACAGGACATAAACCTGGGGCTTGGGGTTGTGGCCTGATGGAGCAAGGCTGGGGCAGGTCCCTCCCTGCTGGGTGTCTGGACATGACTCCACATCCCCACGCCTCTGAGCCTTCATAGCTGTGTCAGATCAGTCTCTGCTCTGAAGCCCACAGCAGGAGTTCAGCCCAGGGCTGAGAACACCTGTGCAGAAATAAGAGAAGAGGGACCCACCTGGTTTGGCCTTAGCTCCGCAATGTCTCCAACCACTAGACTCTCCATCAGCCTCACCCGGTCACAACCAAGTATCTTGGTCTGAGGAAGATAAAAAGCCTCAAGCCCCAGCCCCAGTCAGAGAAGACTGTCAATGGAGCAAACCAGCTGAAAAGCCCAATTGGCTTCTGCAGGTGGCCGAGGCCTCCCCTCCTGATTTCCCTACATCCTCCAGCACAGGTTAGCGCTCACTAGGGGAGGAGAAGAGAAAGAGATGGGGAGTTAAAAAGGAACTGCATGCTCTCCTGAAATCCTTTTCCAGCAGGCTGATGAGGGTGAGGGGCCTGGAATCCCCGCACGCACTCTAGCGGGCTGGACAGATTCCAAGGGGCTGATCCGACCCCCGACCCCCACCGGGGCCTCAGTCAGTTTCAGGACACAGAAGACACCCACTCCTCGGGGAGATCGGCCTTTCGGATCCAGTGCCCTGGAAGCAAAGCCGAGGCCCGCAGCCCTGCTAAACAGGGCGGCCGGCGGGCTGGCCGGCGGCCGGGGCAGCGCGCTCCCTGCTCCCACCTGCAGCATGTGAGACACGTCAAAGAGCGAGCAGTGCCGGCGCGTGTGCAGGTGCGAGCTAATGTGGCTGTCCCGGTACTGCACAGGCAGGTTCCAGCCGGCGAACTCCACCATCTTCCCGCCATGGGCCAGGTGCAGGTCGTAGAGCGGCGTCCTGCGGAGCGCGTCCTGCAGGCGGCCGGACTCAGTGCTGCCCGAACCCCCAGGCCCCAGCCGCCTCCCTCCACCCCGCCCCCTGCCCCATCCCATCCCCGGAGGCAAGCACCCGGCCCCAGCACCCTCTAGCCCACCTGTGCGCAACTGAATGACCGGCCCAGGGCTCGGGGAGGTGCCTGCAGGATCGAGCCTAGCCAGGCCATCCAGCTCCCTGCTCGCCACATTGTCGCCCACAACCAGTGCGGCCAAACACAGAGGCCACCACTCTGCTGGGCACGCTGGGAGATGTAGTCCGGCCCCTGCCCGGACAGGTTTTTCCCGACCCAGCCCGGTACTCAGAGGAAGGGGCAGGCAGCCCCCAGGGCAGCCCAGGCTTTCTAGCGGAGTGCGGAGACCCCAAACTGCAGGAAAATACAGCCCGAGGCTCTCCCAGCTGGCAGTTCAGGGCGGTTCGGTCGCCAGACACAGCTGGGGGCAAGACCTCCCCCTGCAGATTGTCCAGCCTCCAAGGGGACAAAGTTCATTGAGCCCAGGGCTGAAAGGTCTGAATCACAATGGAGACCCTAGGAGGAGGAAGGTCAAAGGGCGGGGCGGGAGCGACAGCCAGGGAAGCACCAAGGTAACCTAGCTCCATTCCCGGGTCAGGGTCCCCAGCTCTCCCCCTGGGCATATGCAGGCAGCTGGCACTGGCTCAGTCACACACACCACGCATCTTTATTGATCCGGCTGCACATCAGGCCCTGTCCTGGCTGCTGGAGGCACAGCCGTGAATGAAGCACCCCAGGGTCCTCCCCACTGGCTCACAGGCATGCGGTGAGGGAGGGTCCCTGCTCCCTGCGCCCAGGACTTTGGCCATCCCCTTCTCAGTAACAACACAGTGGGGCTGCTCAGGAGTATGCCCGCCAGGGCACCACCTCTGAGAACGCTGATGGAAGAGAGCAGAGGGCCGCCACCACACAGGGGCCTAAAAAGTTCCCCCCCGAAAAACAATGAACCCCCCAAGCAAGGGGCCGGGGCCCCTATACCAGTAGTGCTGCTGCAGAGCAGCGCCCCAGGGGAAAGCCAGGTCGCACAAGGGCTGAGGGCAGGAATGTCCCCACACAGTGATGAAGGAGCAGCAGCCAGCTGTCGGATCTTGAAAGACCACTTCCTCAGAAGCAGAGCTGAGAGTGTGATTCGGGCAATGTCAGTTGGGTGGCAAGTCCCAGGTCTTATGCTCAGGCCCAGCCTTAGTAGAAGCTCCTGCTCTAGTTCGATGGTCAGACCCACTTGGGCACAAATCCAGGGGCCAGCCCAGGAACTGAAGGACCCAGACTGCACAAATCCCCACTTCTGTGTCCCAGTTGAGTGAGTGAGTGACACAAAGGGAAAGAAGGCCACTAGGGGGCCCAGAAACACTGGGAGCTCTTGTCTCTCCCTCAAGCTTCCAGTCAGCAAGAGTATGTGGCAGCAGAGCCTTAAAGTGCAGCAGACTGCACTTAAAAGAGGGAGCAGGCAGAAGACAGAAGACAGGTGTACATGTTGGTGGGAAGGGTGGAGGGCACAGGAGGGGATTCTTACTAGGCAGAACTGAAATGTTTTTAGGGTAAGAGGAGGATTGGGCTACATCCAGGCAAGCACAGAGCGCAGCCCTGTCTGGAGTTCATGCTGAAGCAACACAGTGAGCCCTGAGAATCTGGAATTGAGAAGGTGTCCCAGACAAGATGGGGGTGCAGGTGGTGCTCGGAAGGCATGGAGACTTTACTTCAGGCTCTGGTGGTTCAAACCAGGTCTGCGTGAGTCCAGAAAGAGCCAAGTCTTGGGTAGGAGCCTTGGCTCAGGTGTAGGAGAGCAAGTTCAAGTCATAACAGCCATCCACCTGCAACACAAAAAGCCATCAAGTCTGGCCCACTCAGGGCAACAACGCAAGCCAAGCAGAGGGCAGTGATCACTCACATCAAAGCGGCCGATCCGTGGGGAGGTGTGACTGGCCCGGATCATCTCTGTCAGGGCCCACATCTGCTGCACCTCAGAGGATACCCTGCCGGGGTCTGGGAGACCCTGTTCCAAAAGGAAGGGTCAGTGGCTATGTATCTCTCCCCATTTGTGCCCTAGGGACCCCGGAGCTGGGTTTTGGGGTCCCCTAGCTGAGACCACCAGCATTCTCAGATGACTTCATAAGAGAAAGTTAAGGCCTGGTGTGTAACAGGCAGCCCAACTCCAAGCTAGCAAAGCCTCCAATCCCACGGTCTAAAACAGTGGTTCTCAACCTTCATCATGCCGCGACCCTTTCATATAGTTCCTCATGTGGTAGTGACCCCCAACCATAAAGTTATTTTAATTGCTACTTCATCACTATAATTTTGCTACTGTTATGAATCATCATGTAACAATCTGATATGCAGGATGTATTTTCATTGTGACAAATTGAATATAATTAAAACATTGTGATTCATCACAAAAACAATGTCATTATACATTGTGAAATATTTATTTCTCATGACAAATAAATGAAATTTTGTCTTGAAGCATGATGTAGCATGGGTAACAGTCTTCCCGCTGGGTACTCATAGGTGGGCACATCTGCATGTGGGTGGACCCGCCTGGAGACAGATAGAAGAGCAGTGTCTCTGTTCCTAAGACCACTGGAAATAGGTGTTTCCCAGTGGTCTTAGGCAATCCCTGTGAAAGGATCTTTTGACCCCCAAAAGGGTCACAACTCACAGGTCAAGAACAAGTACCCAACGGGAAGAGGACAAGAGCCAAGCTGAGGACCTTAAAGGGGTCCACCTAGATCTGTTCTGGGCCATGGACAAAGGGTTCCTACCCAGGGGGAGGCTTACCTCGAGGAGGGGGATGGGTTGCTCACAGGGTGCTGGGTGGGAGAGCCACTTGGGGAAGACCATGGAGGGGCTCTGAAAGTAAAAGCAGAAGCACTGAGGGATGGTCCTGAGACCAGACTTCAAGAGTTCAGGGGAGCACAGTTGGGTCTCTGGAGCCTCAGACACTGGGAAGATTCTGTTCAGGAGCCCACAGAAACTCAAGGCTGCAGAGTGTTCTCCCCAGCAGTTGCAGGGTCCTGGCCTGGGCGTGGCAGTCATGTCAAAGGTCAAGGGATATACAGACATGGCCTTACCCCTCATCATGATCTCTAGCATCCTGACTCAGCTCAATCCCGTGAGGCATCCTTCTGAGTCTCACCCCATCCCCTGCCCAGAACCCTCTGGGCCTTAGCTGGGAGCCTCTTGGGGAAAGGACCAGCCAGTCACCTACCTTTGGTCCCTGCTGGTAGATCTGCAGCTCCTCCACTGCGAAAGACAGCCACAGCGGTGACGGCTGCCGCAGAATCAGACGCAGCTCCAACACGCTGGCCATGTCACACAGCATCTGATACACACACACAAGGGCCCAGCGAGGACCCAGCTCACTCAGCAGTGAGTCCAGATGCTGCCTCCCACCCCGACCACCCAGGTCTTTCAGAAGGAAAGAAAGGAAGTCTCTCTAGATACTCACACAACCACAGCCCAGGACACCTGACCCTCTCCTCTTCCCTCCTGGTGTACCGGCCCACAGCCCAGGCCCCTTGTAAGCCCTCCTCTGAGTTTCCCTGGCCATGTGAAGGCCCAGCTGACCTGGTGCTGGAACAGCGATACATACTCCTGGGCCCCCTCCTCGCTGTGTGGGTCAGGCATAAGGCAGTAGTTCCTCAGGCAGGTCACCCACTTGGCAGGTGTGTGCCCCGAGGTGTGCTGGCGCACACGGATGCTCAAAAATGCTGTGTAGTAATTCTTAAACGTGATCTCCTGCAACTAAAGCACACATAACCCACCATGGCAAATCAGACTCAGGCCCAGACCTGAAAGGCTCAAAAAACACCATATTCCCCTAGCCTTAAGAATGTACTGTACTAAACAAACAATTTCAATAAGCATCTGCTTGGTCCCCGTGCTAGTTACATAATCTGGTGCCAACTTGAGACTATTAAGAACGAAGGGGTAGAGTTTAGCCAGTCAATCAGGTCGCTGCTTGATGACCTCATTTGGAGGCGCTAAGGAGATATAGTTCGCTGGAGGTGGGACACAGACACTCTCCCCACAAGACATTCCTGTTGACAAAGCCACAAGGAGCAATTCTGATGGCAGCCAGTGCCTTGGAACTGGAGGAGCCACATGAAGACCCACGCCAGTGCTAAGATTCTTCCACTGCCACTGGTTCCACAAGACCTTCCACCCACTAGCCTGTGATCTTCCTGCACTCAGTATCATTGCATGTGTTGCGTGAATCTGAATAGAAATTTATAGATTGGTATTGGACATATGGGCTAATAATGGATTTGATCTGGCCTGGGCTGGGATGTTTTCTCAATATTCAGCTGCTCTTGTATATAAAGCTCTTTCTTAAACTCATATGAGTGTCTGGATTTGCTTCTCTAGTCCACCCAGACTAACACAGGGCCAAATTTGGTTTGCTTTTCGAGAAGAGCTCACAGGCTACCCAAACCAACCACCACTACAGATTTCATCACGTGACCAAGATGCCACCAGACCTCAGCCCTACCTTGGGAAGAGGCAGAAAACTACAGCTAAGAGCTGAGGCAGGAAGACTTCATCTGGAGAACCAGGAGAGGAAACCCAAACCAGAAAAACTCACCTTGAGGTTAGCAGTTCAAGGTATACCCGACAGCACCATCATAGCACATACAAAAGAGTGGCAGAGAGTGAGAGGCTCCACCACACACAGGAATAAGGAAGGATTCAGCCTGGCTACACTAGCAGTGGCTCTCATCACTGCACACTCCCCTATCACCCACGAGAAAAAGGCTCCACCCTAGACCTTCTGGATCAGGATCTCTAGATTGGGTCCTTTCATGAAGCTTGAAAGCTAATGGCAAGAAACAGCTCAGGGAGAACCACAAAATTTAGCCCAAGTGCCGGGGGATGAAGCCTGAGAGGCACCAGGGCACAGGCACCGGACTGGCTTGGAATGCTGGGTGATGAGAAGGTGGATGTTGTCGTCTGTGTTGAGGTTATACAGGGCCCAGTCATTCCGCCTGTTGGGTGTGATAATGCCACTGGAAACTGGAATCACTGGGAGGATTCGGTTGAGGGAAGAATTGAACCTGATCCCTTGCAAGCACAGAGGAAGGAGAAGTAGATTTCGAGGTAACTCATTGTCTAATCCTCAGCCAAGACCATGGACAAAATGATTCCTCACTTCTATTTGGTTCACACCCATATTGCCTGCACCTAGACAACTACGTGGCATCTCTATGCCAGCGCTGCCCTGGGCACGGGTGAAAAACGTTGAGGAGTACATGACAGAAGGCTGCATTCTAATAAGCTATGTGATAACTGAAGGAATACATTCATTAATGGTTAACTGAATCACCGAGGCAAGCGACCCCACAGAGGCTTTCAGGAAGGGATGAAAGGTGCCCAACAGGCCTGAGTTCTCAGGTCTGCCCCGCCTCCCAGGTCGGGTTGCACCCACCCCAAGGGATTTGCTCACCTCAAAGGGCGCGGTGCTAGGGAAGGTGACATCGATGACCTGCACACCAGGCCGCCCTAGGGCGTTCCGCACATCGCCAACCTGCAAAGCCACGGTGCCTTTCATGTGGCAGGGCACTGCCACGCGGGACATGGCGCTAGCAGCGGCCACCCAACACAGCTACCTCTCGCAGCCTCTGACCACCAGCCCTCCCCAGCGACGCCCCCAACTGAGTCCCAAGAACTACAACTCCCTGGAGGCATCGCGCCCCGGCCAGTCCAGCCAATCAACGATACTCAGGATGGACCGCGGAAGTGCCTGCGGAAATTGCTCTTCAGCCAATCACCGCCCGAGTCTTCGAGGGAGGAGGGCGGGCCCATCCTAGCAACGGCCGAGCTTTGGCACCGCGCCCTTCCGTTCGTGGACCGATTGTCCTCGGTCTGGACTTGCTGCGTTTGTGTCTCCGCGCGCTGCGGTCCTCGCTTCCAGCACGGAAGTGATGAGCTGCAGATGAGCAGTATCTGACCGGCAGTAATTACAAAATCAAACATTAGCTGTTCTATTTTAAAGGGCGAAAGGATTTAAACAGACCCTTCACAACAGAAGTAGCCAATATGCATATAAAATGCTTAACATTATTATGCATCGAGGAAATAGAAATTAGAGCACCTACAATTTTATCAATCCCTGCACATCCACTAAAGGTCTCTAGGTGACGAAACGAGTTTGCGCTCATAGGAAGCCGAGTGTAGCAGTTCGAATCCACGCAATGGCGCTGGGGAAGACAAGGCCTGAGTGACCAGCAGCAGCAGCTAGCAGAAGCAAAGCTCGCAGAGCCGTTCCGTTCTGTGTCGTTTGGGGTCAGCATGCCTTGGCAGGGACAGCACAGCAGCCGGTGAGGCTATTGAGTTCCGGGAACTGCCATTCACTGGTCATTTCCAGCCACTTTGGAAACAGAACTTCATCCTTTCTTTCAGAGCTAAATCTTCACCAGGAAGAGGAAAAAAGGAAAACAAGGCTAAATGCAGACTTGTGGTGGTAAGTTCCGCGTTGGACCGCCACCACAAACACCAGCCATTCTAAACCACCAGCTGCGTCTCAGGAGAAAGACGAGGCTTTCTGCTCTCATAGAGATTTATAGCCTTGAAAATCCAAAGGGGCAGTTCTACTGTGACCAATGGGGCCACTGTGAGTCAAAATAGGCTCCATGACTGTTTGTTTGGGGGAGAGTTTTATTATTATTTTAAATCATTTTATTGGAGGCTCATACAGCTCTTACCACAATACATACATACATACATACATTGCATCAAGCACATTTGTACATCTGTTGCCATCATTTTCAAAACATTTTCTTACTGCTTGAGCACGTGGTATCAGCTCATTTCCCCCCTCCCCCACCCTCCCTCCCTCATGAACCCTTAATAATTTATCTTTTTTTTTCATGTCTTACACTGACTGATTTCTTCTTTCACCCACTTTTCTGTTTGTTGTCTGTCCCTCTGGAAGGAGGTTATATGTAGATCATTGTGATCTGTTCCCCCTTTCTCCCCGCACCTTCACCTTACCCTCCTAGTATGGCTACTCCCAATATAGGTCCTGAGGTGTTTATCTGTCCTGGATTCTCTGTGTTGTGAGCTCTTATCTGTACTAGTGTACATGCTCTGGTCTAGCCAGATTTGTAAGGTAGAATAGGGGTCATGATAGTTGGGTGGGGGGAAGCATTAAAAAACTAGATGCAAGTTGTTTGTTTCATCAGTGCTATACTGCACCCTGACTGGCTTGTCTCTTTCTTGTGACCCTTCTGTAAGTGGATGTCCAGTTGCCTACAGATGGGCTTTGGGTCTCCACTCCACACTTGCCCCCATTCACAATGATAGGATTTTTTGTTCTGGGTCTTTGATGCCTGATACTGGATCCTATTGATACCTCATGATCACACAGGCTGATGTGCTTCATCCATGTGGGCTTCGTTGCTTCTTGGCTAGATGGCCACTTGTTTATCTTATTACCATTATTATTTTAATCATTTTATTGGGGACTCCTACAACTCTTATCACAATCCATACATACATCCATTGTATCAAGCACATTTGTACATTTGTTGGCATCATCATTCTCAAAACATTTGCTTTGTACTTGAGTCCATGGTATCAGCTCTGTTTTCCCCTCCCTCCCTGCTCTCTCCTCCCTTGTGAGCCCTTGATAATTTATAAATTATTATTATTTTGTCATATCTTACACTGTCCGACGTCTCCCTTCATCCACTTTTCTGTTGTCCATTCCCCATGGAGGGAGTTACATGTAGATCCTTGTAATCAGTCCCTCCTTTTCACTCCACCCTCCCTCCACTATCTTATTATTTTTTAAAATAGCTTTTTAAATAGTTAAATGTATACTTCTGATCCAGTCATTTCCCCTCCTCCATATTAACGAAGAGAAATACATGCATCAGTTCACCCAAAGGCTTCCTTCGTAATCTCCAAACACTGGAAGCAGCTCAAAAGTCCAACAACAGCAACAAAAATGCATAAAAACGAATTTGGAATCTCCATATACTGGACTACTTGTCTGCAATAAAAACAAACAAACAATTGGTACACACAGCAACAGACTCCTGTTTAAAATGGATTATGTTAAGCAAAAGAAGTCAAACCCAAAAGAGTAAAGACACTGAGGCCTTTTCCGTGAAATTCCAGGAAAGGCAAAACTAATCAACAGCGGTAAAAGTGTCTCCTAAGGACAGGGTCAGTAGTGGATGGGGAGATGTAATGGAATCTTTCTGGATGATGGAACGTTCTATAATTTGATTGTGGTGGTGGTTGTCAGGCACCGTCGAGTCTGTTCCAATTCACAGCGGCCATGTCCTAGGTCCAACACAGGGCAGCAGGGCCCAACCTTGCACCATCCTCACAATTGTTATCTGTGAGCCCATTGTTGTCGCCTCTGTGTCCATCCACCCTGCTCAGTCTCCCTTTTCTTCTGCTGCCCTTCTGTCTAACCAAGCATGACATCCTTTTCCAGGGACTGGCCTCTCCTGATCACATGTCTAAAGCATGTGGGATGAAGTCGCCGGATGCTGGCTTCTAAGGAGCTTTCTGGTCGTATTTCTTCAGAGATAGATGTGTTTGTTCCTTTGGCATTTCATGGTACTTTCGATGTTATTCACTGGTACCACAATTCAAAGGCATTGATTCTTCTTTGATCTTCCTTCTGCAAATGTCCAACTCTCTATGCATAGGTTGTAATGGAAAATACCTTGGCTTGGGCCTCCACTCAAGTACTCCCTCGATGTAAGAATACTTTCTTCTATTAAATTGGCATTCTATGATGTTCACCTTCCGACACAACCGCTGAAGACAAAGCGGATGAATACGCAAATGTGGTGAAGAAAGCTGATGGTGCCCGGCTATCAAAAGATAGAACGTCTTGGGTCTTAAAAGCTTGAAGGGAAACAAGAGGCCATCTAGCTGAGAAGCAACAAAGCCCACAAGGAAGAAGCACACCAGCCTGTGTGATCACAAGGTGCGGAAGGGATCAGTTATCAGGCATCAAAGAACAAAAAAATCATATCATCTCACCTCCCTGATAGGATTGCTGAAGACAAATGGGTACATAAGCAAATGTGGCAAAGAAAGCTGATGGTGCCCGGCTATCAAAAGATATAGCATCTGGGGTTTTAAAGGCTTGAAGGTAAACAAGCGGCTATCTAGCTCAGAAGCAACAAAGCCTACATGGAAGAAGCACACCAGCCTGTGCGATCACGAGGTGTCAAAGGGATCAGGTATCCGGCATCATCAGAACTAAAAATCATAGTGAATCAGGGCGGGAGTGCGGAGTGGAGACCCAAAGCCCATTTGTAGGCCACTGGACATCCCCTTACAGAAGGGTCTCAGGGAGGAGACGAGCCAGTCAGGGTGTGATGCAGCAATGCTGAAACATACGACTTTCCTCTAGTTTCTAAATGCTTCCTCCTCCCCCACTATCATGATCCGAATTCTACCTTACAAATCTGGCTAGACCAGAGGATGTACACTGGTACAGAGAGGAACTGGAAACACAGGGAATCCAGGACAGATGATCCCTTCAGGACCAGTGGTGAGAGTGGCGATACTGGGAGGGTGGAAGGAAGGTGGGTTAGAAAGGGTGAACCAATTAAAAGAATCTACATGTGACCTCCTCCCTGGGGTCAGACAACAGAAAAGTGGGTGAAGGGAGATGTCAGACAGGGCAAGATACGACAATATAATAATTTATAAGTTATCAAGGGTTCATGAGGGAGGGGGAGAGTGGAGAGGGAGAGGAAAAAATGAGGAGCTGACGCCAGGGGTTTAGGTGGAGAGCAAATGTTTTGAGAATGATGAGGGCAATGAATGTATAAATGTGCTTTACACAATTGATGTATGCATGGATAGTGATAAGAGTTGTATGAGCCCCTAATAAAACGATTATTAAAAAATAAAAAGAAAATACCTTGGCTTAGTCCAGGCACACCTTAGCCCATCCTTGCTTTTCAACACTTTAGAGATCTTGTGCAGCAGATTTACCCAATATAGCGTGTCCTTTGATTTCTTGTCTGGTGCCTTCATATGCTTTTATTTTATTTTACTGAGTAGGTTTCCAAGCAAGGCAAAATCCCTTACAGCTTCTGTCTTTTCTCTTTTTATCATGATGTTACCTACTGGTCAACTTGTGTGGATTTTTGTTTTACATCGAGTTGTAATCCATGCTGAAGTCTGCAATCCTTGATCTTCACCAGCAAGAGCTTCAAGTCTTCTGCACTTTCAGCCAGCAAGGTTGTGTCATCTGCATATCGCAGGTTGTTAACAATCCTTCCTCCAACCTTGATGTCATATTCTTCATATAAGCCAGCTTCTCTGATTATTTCCTCAGCACACAGAAAGAACAACTCTGGTGAGAGATACACCCTGTTGCACACCTTTCCTGATTTTAAACCATACAGTAGTCCCTTGTTCAGTTTGCACAACCACCTTTCGATCCACGTACAAGTTCCTCATGAGCATAATGAAGTGTTCTGGAATTCTCATTCTTCTCCGGGTTATCCATAGTTTATTATGGTCCACATAGTCTAATGCGTCTGCATAGTCCATAACACATAAGTAAGTATCATTCTGGTAGTCTCTGCTTTGAGCCGAGATCCATCTGACATCAGCAATGATACCCCTTGTTCCATGTCCTTTTCTGAATCC